GTTATTCTACAGAAAAGGGGAAATGAGTGGACCCTGGTTTGCTAATGGAAGACGGTTGATCTTTCCATTGACTTGAGAGAGCTCACAGAGTGTGATCTTCATGAGTAAGGCCAAACAGGGGTTTACCCTTTATAGGATAACAAACACGTGTACAAGTAATGAACCCCATGCTCGGATTCCCCCAGTGGAATCTTGGGGCCTTCCAAGTTATGCTTTTCCTCCGGATTCATGCAGGAATAAATTTCACAAACAGTAGTTCCGCTTTCAAAGGTGTAACAACACTTGGCCGCGGCCACGTCCTCGGGCAGAATTGGAGACCCCGGCCAATCGCCGCAAAAGTCCTGGGAACAGATGATGTAGATTGAGGAATCCGTGCCCACCAACCTGCAACAGGGTAAAATTCCAACTTCTGGTTCAGCGACAACTTGGGTTGAGGAGTCACTGTCCTTTGCTGGGTGACCGATGCACAATGGCGGCTCTGAATTTGTACAAGCCTGCTTGTCTAGACAACACTCGGGTATTGGTTTGATTGCATCCAGTGCTGGGAAATAATGGAGCATAAATTTAAATAAAGCATGCAGGTTTCGTCATTCATGGTGCCTCCTGTAGTAGTTTTGAGCGAAACTCTGTGGTGCTAATTGCCTTCAGTTTATAAAGTCGATCACGTTTAAAATAAGTTAATTTCAAACCAAGTGTAGAATACGTGTGTTGGAAAAATGAAACAAAAATATTTCAAATGTTCTTACCTGGGTTCTGTGCGTCTGTGTCTGTGTTTTCTCTTTTAATCATGAGCTAATCATAAGACTCATCAGTCATATTCAATACAGGATGCTCAAAAGAGATGCATTATGCATGATATAGTCCCACATTATTTGCTCTTCTTGAATTCTTTCTTAAAAACGGAACATACAATTCTTAACTCTTTGGAGTTCTTACCAAAGGGCTCCCTGCCGTGTTCCCGGGCGGATTGTGCATTTTTACTCATTTCTTTTATTCTTCTATTCATTCAAATTCTTTGTGGGCTCGTTGCCCTACAATAGAGGTGGTGAGGGCTTCAATGTCTCTCATTGTGGACAACAACAGCCTGCTTATAGTATGACAAGAGAGTAGGAAGAGTAAAAAAGCTCACCCTTCTTGCTCAAGATAAAGTGAGTCAGAAACATCCCAGTTAATGCCCTTGATCCTCTTTATATTCACACAGTTTTGGGACTATAAAAGAAATACAGTACTGAATTTGCCATGTACTGTATGATGCACTCCTGTGAAACCTGCACTCCTGTGTACCTGTGAAAAAGTATTGGAGAGATCCAGTTTTGGGACCCCCTCAGCAGAACTCAACCACCAAACTGAAAGAAAATGTCAGAGATGCCACAGGCACATTCATTGTTTGGCACATGCATGTCATGGCTTTCTAGAGCCTTGTATTTTTTTCAAAGAGCATGCTTAAGGCGGGCCCTTTTGAAAAAATTGGGGGGATATGTTGGGAAATTGCACATGCATGCCAAATAATAATAAAATTAAAACATGTAAAATTAGGAAAACCATGAAATCCGATCAGAGAATCAACCCTGAAAAGGGAAGGAACTCTCCAAGGCTAACCACACTATCAGAACAATGAAAAACCAGACCTGATTTCCACACAAAATTTGTCCACCAAGGAACAAAACCACACTCACAATTGAGCTTTTGTTGCGTTCACATATGGCAACATCTTTACAAATTTGTGGAAGAGTTCTGTTGAGCTGTTGTGTTTGTTGAAATCTGTCTTGTGTGGGTTACAAGTTGGGAAAAATTTGAAATACATTGAAACCCAATTTCAAATAGGAAATCCACCAGGATTCCCAGCCTAGTCCCAGGCTGATTCTGCTTTTTATTCAAAAATTTTGAACTTTACATCATTCCTAAATCTTTTGATCCACAAGCAAATTTCACAGATTTGTGTTAAGGCAAGTTATTCCTTAACAAGTATTGATTGCTAGCAGGTTATGAAATGATTGTCCTAAATGCTGTGTGACAAACCAGCATTAATTAGTTGTTCCTAACTTCATTGGTCAGCTGTATGCAAAGTTTTGGAGAAGAACAGGATATTTTCCCTGCTTTCTGCCTCATTTTCAAGACTCTTACATAAAGTGCAGGTGAGGCTTTCCTCCATCTTGCCTTCACTTTGACTAGGGGTATTACTGCTGCATGGACATTCAATCCCACATCAACACAAAATATGGAATATGTTGTACAATCTCCTCATAAAAGAGAATAAAAAAGCACATCATCACTGTTGAATTCAGTTGGGACTGCTGAGTTGATTCAGATGAAAATCTTTGAGGCAAACTGTGACATCCTTTCAAATTTTCGTTTGCCTGAAATCTTTTATCTATTGGTGGGAAAAATTGAATGAAAGGGGATTTCATCTTTTGGCTTTTGGAGGAACCAGAGATCAGTGAGTGCAGTTCAAAGATTTGTGTATGATGAATGACCTTCTTTGAAATCATTGCGAAATTATTTTAAAATATTTAATATTTTATTCCTTCAGGTTGCACGCGTAAAAAGTTCAAGGTAAATGTGCAGAAACACATATACTTGACAAATCAGAAGATATTGAAGGTGTCATTGCGCATTTGACGGACACTTGATTCCTTGGGTAATTATGACTCTTGACAGGCTGTAGAAAAATTTATACAAGTTGACGAAAATTTAACAATCTCGTTATTGTCATAGATTCAAGCAACTGCCATAAATACCAGCCCCTGCTCGAAAGTCAAATCAGTTTCAATTTCTTCCTCAATTCGACCAATAAAGTAAATCATCTGAGAGAACTTGATACCTGCTCAAACATGTTGAAAATCACGACTTTGGCTGTTTATTCGGCAATCTTCCTCGTCTCAGGAAGTTCTGGTGAGTTTGGGAGGACAGCTTAGCCAATCTTTGCAATATTTTCATTAATCGCATTGGAAAAAAATGTCAGGTGTTGACAAAAAATGGAAATCAATAATCAATAAATCAATGAAGTGAGACTGCCTTCATCTAAATTTCGGTTATACTATTCCCAGCACTGGATAAGGTGAAACCAATACCCGAGTGTTGTCTACACCAGCCTTGTACACATTCAGACCCGCCAATTTGTCTCGGGCACCCAAAGGACAGTAATTCCTCAATAACCCCAGTGGAGGTCGTCCCTGAAGCGATTGGACTCTTGCCCTGTTGCAGATTGGTGGGCACCGATTCCTCGGTCTACATCATCTGTTCCCAGGACTTTTGCGGCGATTGGCCCGGGTCTCCAACTCTGCCAGTCAGTCGACGTGACCGCGGCCACGTGTTGCTACACCTTCGAAAGTGGAACCACTATTTGTGACATTTATTCCTGCATGAATTCGGGGCCAAAGCCAGTGCCCGAGTTGGAAGGCCCGAGGATTCCAATTGGGGAATCCGAGCATGGGATTCATCACTTGTACACGTGTTGCCAACCCAATTGTGGAGTAAACGGGTGCAGTCCAGTGTGTCGAGAATGTGACCTTTGACCCTGAAATTGATGAGAACCCGCATGGAAAGCCCTGATGACGAAAATCCGCTTGACCGACAGACAAAGAATCTGATCTTTTCTCTACTACATTAATAGATGTCGAAAGTGTCTGTCCTCTGAATTCTTCTTACAGATGCATGTTGAAAATCCGTCACATTGAAAATTATTCTCGCAATATCTGGGAACTTTTATTTTTCGAACGCGAAATTTCCGGCTGAAAATAAATTTCTCTTTCAAGTTATGAAATGTGTTGCCAAATTTTTCCTCACATCCGTTTGCGTCTTATTGTAATCTAAGTTTTCCTCCATGTACGTATAGTGGCTCCTTTTCTTCAACTGCTTTCGGAAAATCTTTATTTTACTGCGGATATATGGAGCAGACTTGATAGAAAACTGCATCAAAAGCTCAGACTCCCCTATCATTCCCAAGTAGATTATCCAGCAACGTCAGCATTCACAATATAAAACAGCATTATAGGCAAAATTTTGTTTTATTCAGAGGTGTTCATCACAATTGGAGAGGCCTTCTAACAAGAACTTATCTCCTGTTTATAAGATGACATCGATCAATAAGTTGTGCGTGAACAAGTCCTGCTTACATGTAGAACTGTCCATAACTGCTTAATTTTACTGATGCAAGAAGAAATGTTGGATTCTAAAATGTTTGAAACAATGGGCCATTCCTTTGTTTTATTTTGAATCTGGAATGAGGACAATGACAATGAAGTGTGTGGCAAGTGTGAAAAATGCCAGGCAAACACGTTAACCTTTATATAGACTGCTGGAAGTTTACCATCATTTCATAGGTCACTCCTGTTAAACCGGAATAGCCTGGGGCTTAGGCTTTGGTTACATTACGTCAATGGCACTGTGGAATCCCAGGTCAGCTGCAAATTTTACTGTGACCTCATGAGGTTCTACCCAGGCAGAGAAAAGGCGAAAAATTGCCAATATTAGGCACATATTTGATGCACCCATTTTAAAAGGTTCTATCTTATATAGTGAGTTGGATGTGATGGTTTTTCTTTGAACTGAATATCCGCAAAAACTGTGATGTCCTGAGCCTGATTGCATTCATCAAATTTCCAAGAAGACATGCATATAAACTTTGTAAAAATTGTTGTCCTTTCTATTACAGGACTGAGTCGAGAATAAAAGAACCAAGTTCTT